CCCTTCCTCTGTCCCTCATGAAGAAATTGTAACTGCAATGAGATCTCCCCTCAGTCTCCTCCTTGTGCTGAACAGATCAATAAAACACTGCCTAAGAATTGCACTATACACTGCTTGAATTATTCTGAATCTTCTAGATATGTTGAAGGTTTTCAGACTAAATTTTTTCCAGCAAAATACTTTGCTCATAAGAGGCAGCAAATACATATATTTACAGTGGTCACTAAGCCTACAGCCTGTCTAGGGCTATCTCTGTTAACTCTGTTCTTGTACCTCTTTGAATTTAGGAAACACACCATAGTGTTCTTGTTGATTTCTTGCTTATCATTATTTACTAAGATACAATACACAAAAAGTTACAACTGAAAGGCAGATTAATAATTCATACCTCTATTATAAAAATCTGTAAATTGTATTCTAAGCAATGAGCTGCATCTGTTACCTAAAAATAAGAAGACAGGCACAGCATGGTAACAATTTAGAATATAGAGCATTGCACGGCAGGAAAGTTCCCATTGAGATGACTTTGGCTTAGATGAAAGTCCTAGCTGTCTACCTTCTTTGATTGAACAGTCTCATTTTTTAAAGTAAACACTACTGTATATTCTGTGAATATTGCCTGTCTCAAAGAATGTCAATAATTCTTTCTGACAAAGCCAAACTGAAAAGAAGAGGTTAGGTTGAGGGTACAGCACATATTGTCTTACAAAAATTAAAGGAAATTTCTTCAGGAACCTGTCTGTTTCTGATATATAAGAAATATTTGCCTAGAGACTAGAGTTATTTGTAATGTATTCTGTGTTGGAAAAAGTAATAATTTGTATCAACTTCAGTTACCAAAATGTATTAGTTGACTTTAACATTCAGGCTTCTGGAGCTATTGCAAAACAATCTTAATTCTGTCTGTAGTGTGGATGAAGAAGGACAGTATATCACATTAAAAACGGAAGAAATATAAAGGAATTTTTCCAAATTTCATTCAGATCTTTGCCACAGGAAAACAGTGGCAATCTCACAGCCAGTCTACCCTGCTCCATGCCTGCTGTCATGGCATTTTGTACACAGACCTATAGATGTCATCCTGGGAAAAAATCAATGACATTTTTTCTCTGTTGACATCGAGGTCAAGGTTCTCAATAATTTTACTGGGAAGTAAGATGAAACATGCTTTGATTTTTTCCTCAAACTGCATTTTCAGAAACTAAATTTAAACTTTAACTGAGTGCATTTTCCTTCTTGTGTGACTACAATGAATAGATAATAATATAATTTTTCTCAGCATTTCTGTTCTTCATTACAGAAGTGCCAAACAAAACGCTTAGATACAGGCGTTCTTAACCATCCTGAAGAATCTGGATGCTTGCATCATAAATCAAGTACCCAAATTAGTGAAACAGCATTTTAGTTGTTTGGAATGTCGGCTTTTTTTGGTTGGTTGGTTGGCTGGTTGGTTGGCTGGTTTTTTTGTTTGTTTTGTCCTTGTTTGTTCGTTTTTTAAATTAGCATAACTCAATGGCAACTTTTTGGATGAAATTTTTTAAGAAATAAACCAATTCATACATACTACTGTGATGATGTAACATAACATAGTATTTGATGACTTTTTAAAATAATGGCAGAAATTTCCCCAAACGCAGGTATCAGAAAACAAATAATTCAGTTAAAAGTTATGGTTCTGCTTGTACATGCTGCCTGTAACCCAAAATGTCTCTTCTGCACAGTGAAATTAGGTTCACAAGAAACACTGAGAAAATAATGTTCCAGTTTTTCATTTTCCTTCCACCCTGAGGTGCAGAGAGGCAAGTATTTTGGGGAAATCTCAGATGCAGAAGATTTATTTTGAACTTTGCCTGGCTAAAGACAGACAAATTGGAAACTCTATGTTCTTCCGCTCAGGCATCTTATTTATTAAATAAGCAGAAATATATAATAGAAAGCTGCTTCTCCTTTCTTTCTGGGACTAAATAAATAAATAATTAAGTAAGCCTGGTGCGAGGCTCCTGGCCTGAATTCCTAAAACTGCTACAGTTTTAATGCAGACATCATCTGCAAAATTTTCCTTCAACCACTGGGAAAAAAATTCCTGACTCTGCTAAGGCAAACTGTAATATATTTGACTTCTACTTTCTGGAGAAAAATTTACACTGCTTGGAAGCTTTTACTGAAGCTTTCATTGACAGATCTATAAACAGGTATCAATTTTAATAGTACAATTCTTTTGTGGTAGTTCCTAGTCTTCTTGAAGTTTTCCTTGCAAAGCCATTTGCTCCTGATCTACTGTCCAGTAAGCCAAGACAGTCCAAGTGGCCAGGATGGGTAATGGTGATGTACTTTTTGTCAGCCTCACATGGAACGTCTCAGTCACAAGGAAGAGCGCGCCTTAGAGCTGAAATATTTCTCAGGCTATTTGTTCAGTAAGGCAAGCTGGCTAAGGCAATTTTATTGATAAGTTAAAAGTGATAATGGGAGGTCAAGCAGCTCTTTCTGCTTTGGTTACAATGAGCACATTGTATAACTCTGCAAGCCTCTTTAAAACACATTTTTCATACATGTGACATTTATGTCATGGAGATATAGCATGATAATATTTTAGAGTAATTTTTGGTGGGTTTTATGAAAATGCATGAAATTTTACTGCTCAGAGCTTTGCTGAAGGTTAAACACTGATTAAAAAAATAGATATGCCAAAATGTTTTCTTTTTCTGGGAATTAAATTGATTGTGGAGTTACAGCACACACTTTTAGACTGTAAGGTAAGAAGAAAGGGCAAAGTTTGCTTTGTTTGTAGAGTGCAAGTCCTGCCCATCTTCCACTGGAGATATGTTGAAAATTTTCAGTGGTGAGGTGATGGGAAGGCCATCCCTACATGTTGCATCTCCTGTTCAGTGGATTTCCCTGCCTCCACAGTCTGGAGATGTAGATGGGGAAGGAAAAAGGGATAAAGGCTAACATGCCCTCAGCTTCATTTTCACATTCCCTTGTAGAGTAGGATGCACAGAACAATAACAGCACCATTAGCAGACAAAACCCAAATACTCCCTCTGGAACCCTTAGAGTGGTCTCTTCTACAATTAACTCATAGCCAGTTCTGGATGGCTTCAGTCAACTTCTTTTCTAATATGTTCTCTTCAAAAGAGATTAAGCAATTACTCCTTGATGTGTGTTAATCATGTGTGATAAAATTAAATTAAAAATTATTCTTGATGGAAAATAATAGCAGAAGGTTTCAAACCTAAATAGAGAAATCACCATTTGTTCTGTTTCATCATAAAAACTTTCAAAGCCATGATGTGTCCTAAAAAGACATAAAGCTTTTGTTCTGTATTTCAACTTATAAAAAAATTTAAAGTGGGTAGCAATGTTCTGAAAACCTGAGGGTTTTTTCCTAGTATGAATATTTTTGCAATACACCAAAAATCCATGTTTCTGTAAAGGATACAAAAGTTCTGTCCTTATCGCTCATATGAGCCCTACATGTTTAAACAAACCTTTGAGCTACTCAGTTTACTTGCCTGAGAATATGTCACATATGTCCACTTCAGGGCTGTAACTAGGGCAAAATAGATAATGTAGTTTGTTCCCACAGTGAATTTTTCTGCTTTATAGCTGACTTAATTTTAAGGTGTTTAAAAAATAAAACCCGCCAAACCCACAAATTATAACTTCATTACCTTTACCTCTTTTTGTGCATTATTTACCGTAACACTAAAAGATGGCTTACCTGACTTCCTAATATATCCTGGTGCTTTCATTGAAAACAAATGCTATTAGTCACCATTCCAAAGAAATTTTTTGTCCTTAAAATAGTAAGTTTGAATAAAAAATTTTTGAATTAGGGACAACAATTGTAGAATATGCACTATGAAAAACCTCAGTTCTTTCAAAATTTTATCCTCTGCACATGGAAAACAGCAAGCAATGTATGTTTTTAGTCATAAGTACTTTATTCAGCATGTTGCCTTCAGGTCATCTACACAGAAGGTTGTTTCATACATTTGTCTTTCAAAAGACATCTGTGTTTTATTCAAATTCTTTCTAACCAGATTCACAGTCTCTGCTCACAAAATCATCTAATTCCAACAGTAAATAAACAGACCGAGAAGAATTCTGTAACCTTGTGTGTAGGATTAGATCGTTTCTGTGCAGCCATCTTATGTCCTTGGATGAGAGAAGCTGCAAAAAAGAATGTAAAGAATTTCCAGTAAATTCTGCAGCACAGAAGGGACAAAGCCAGACTATGTTAAATTCTGACACATTCACAGAACTCCCTGTGTGGGAAAAAAGGCAGCATTTTTTTTGAAAATTTGATATATGTGATTTTCCAATATTTTGGAAAAATATTATAAATTCACTCACAGAATGCCTGAATTAGGCATTGCTCTCCCTTGCTAGTATCTTTAGTTGCTTTCTCTGTTTTCTGTGTTACCAGGTATGTAGATTTGACAGAATGTAAGGGTCTCTTAATTCTCCGTGATTTTTCAATTGAGGAATGCAAACAAAAAAAGTTCTGCAAGCATATCTGTTCAGCTATAAACTTGAATAAATTGCAAAATTGCTCTGCAAGGGGTGGGCTATGACCAATATTTAGATGGTATTGAAATGTAAAATTACTTTTACTATCTATTTTCCTTTTTCTCTTCAGCCTTCCCCCTTCCCTCTTCCCATTTTCCTATTCCCTTCCCTTCCTTTCACTTCTCTTCTTTTTCCAGAATTTCAAAAACTGCTTACTATTACTACTACTACTACTACTACAACTTCTTCTTCTTCTTCTTCTTCTTCTTCTTCTTCTTCTTCTTCTTCTTCTTCTTCTTCTTCTGACTGTGCTTACCCCTTCCTTAAAATTAGCATTAGCTAAAGAAAATTGTTAATGTGGATCCGGCAAAATTTAGCACCTCCAGATAGAGCACAATTACATTGTCACAATCCAGGAAGCAGGTGGGGAAGTTTAAAAAGTACCTGAGGTTCTTAATTTCTGGAAACTAGGTTTTTTTTCCTTATATATTCTCCAGCACCTTACTTTTGCCATCATTGAGGTACCTGTAGATTAATACAGTGCCATTAAGTATTGTGGTTTAACAATTTTTTTAAACATTTAAACTGTTTACTGCAATTGGACTGAATATTGCTTTTCATTTGCCTTGAAATGTATCTAAAGGTATCCAACAAACTAAGCCAGACTTTTCTGCATAAGTAATAAAAAATTTTATGCAAGCCAGTTTTTAATTAAAATAAAACCATATTTCAATAGTTACGGGTAACTTATGGCAAAAGGATATGAAAATAAAAAATTTTGGAACTATTGCTCCATTGAAATGACTGGAAAATTATTAGAATTTTATAGTACAGAAGGAAACAACAATGAATTATTCGCAGCAAACAATTTGTTTGTGGAATCCAGAGCAATTCTATTTTATTGTACACAAACTGAACATAATCTTCATTCATTTGTCCATTTAAAAAAATGACATGCTGATATTTCAACATACGGATTATTTGTTAAAAGGCCAACTGTCTGTGTTTCCATGGAAATTTTTATGCAGCTTATCACAGGGCATTCTCAAAATCTGAGCTAGGCTATTTGTCATTTTCTTATATATGACTTATAGCACATACTCTGTTGGTTTCAGCTTTAATTTCAACATTGTTTTGCTGAGCCCACTGTAGCAACAATGAATATTGGACATTAAACATTATAAATGTTAAACGCTTTTGCAAACAGGAATTAAAATGGCAAACTCAAAGTTTACTGGGGATAAACTATTTTTGCTACTGTTATCTGCTGGTTTACATTTTTCCTTGTGTTCTACATCCTAACAGAAAACTAACCTATACATTCTTATTATCCTGTTCCTCTGCCCACAATGTACACTTCAGTAGGAGGTGCAGGTATCCAGTGACACTGAAAATCAGGCAATTAGTGTCTCTGTTTTGGTACTGAGGCGTGATTAGCCTCTGCCTTGTGAATAACCCCTTTGACTTGTGAGAATTATTTTCATGCAGTTTATTGCTGTAGTTAAATTCCTAGTTTCAGCTGGGGAACACTTTGAAGCTGCTGTTTTCTTTTTCCAGTAGATGAGTTGATATTTTAAATAAACCCTCCATGTATTATTAATAGTAGATAATATTATAAAAGGAATACAGACCCTGAGAAGTGCATAGGGTTTTTCCCCTCTCTCTTATAGTAAAAAAGGTGACTCCTCAAGTCAAGTAAGAAAGGAGAAGTAGCTGTGAACAGAAGGTGGGTTTGACTCAGGAAGAAGGAAGAGGAAAGGAAGGAAGAGAAGAAGGAGAAGCAGCAGCACTAATTTCTTTAGGAATAAGGACAAGGAATGCAACTGACCGCAGTGAGTATGGGCCACAGACTGACTTCTCCAATAGCTCCTTGTCCAGGAAGTTCTTGCAGATGAGCACGAGTTTTTTGTGTTTAGTACTGCCTGAGTGGGTCCACAGATTTCTGGAAGAGCCAGATAAAAGGATAAGAGGTCTCTGTGTAGACTTACTAAATTATTTTCTGCTTTTCATAGGGTACAGAACAACAAATAGATATATTACACTGAAGCAGTGCATCTCTTGTAAGCCTCTGTTTCTATACAATCATTTCTCCATGTTTATTATTGGATGCTGGTACAGATTTTGATGCCTACATGCAGTTTTGCTTGTTTTCCTCTTTTCTGACAAGACTTACAACCATACTGGCAGCAGTAATAGCACTTGCTTTTGCTGGTATTCTAATTTTTACTTACAGCTACAAAAGAAAAAAATGACATCACTGTTCTACGACATGGAACAGCTGTCAGGTGAATAAAAAACTTGGACTGTGTTCATGGCTTTCATGCAGAAAGGATTCAGCCCTGCTTATATTCCCACCTTGACTTCACCTGTGCTAAATCACCTGCTGAGAGCATTATTTTTATAAGATCTAAGCACAAGCCTAATTTGTACAGTAATTCTGCAGAATGGATTTTCTTTGTCATATCGCTGTGTCTCATCTGCTAAGTAGGATAGCACCTTAGTTACTGCTGTAGTCCTCTTCTTTGTCTTAGTGTGCTTCTGCTGAAGTATGCAGAAACACTCCTATTTCCTTTAGTGGGAGGAGAGTTTTGTCAGCACTTTGTGAAAACCATATGTTGAGTGCACAAATAGCCATTAGCTTTAATCTGAAAGTATAAATTTTGTTTTAAAAAATTTCTAGCACTGTAGCAACATCCATTAAAATACAGCATTCAGTGCACACAATCTCCATAAGCAGTACATAACTTTTTTTCTGGAACTACAATAAAAGGAACAATGGGTGACACTTCAGGAAGCAATCTGAACTTTAGTTTTAAAATAGATATGACTTATTGCAATTCACCTGCAGTTTCTGAATGCAAGAAAACTAACATTCCAGAGGTACAACATTTGACAGAAATTAAGAAAGCTCATTTTGTCATGGTCTTAAACACCAAAGACCAAAGCTCTTGTCTTTGGATCACCACATCTCAGATAGCAAAGTTCTGTTTTCTTGACATTTGTGATGCTTTTAACAATAAATAAAGAATCGCTCTTAAATTTTGAATTATTTTTTCTTTTAATGTTCACTGTCACAATCTAATACCAGTCTTTACAGCAACTACACCTCAAATCAAACTAGAGTGTTACAGTAGATTACATGTTTTTGAGCATTAATTTTTGCTCTTAAATTCAAGACTACAGGGACCTTACTGCTATGGTGCACTGAAACCTACATGGAAAATCATTCAATAAACTACAACCTATAATTCCCCAGTTCCACAATTGTTAAACCCATCCACAGAAAAAAAAAATCTTGTGGAGGATCCCCAAATGCCTTGAAGAAGCTGAAGGATGAAAATCCATGATCCTACATATACACATTCTTAAATACAATCTATCATATCCAGTTAATTAAAAGATTTTCTAGAAATGAAATGGACAAACTCTATCAAACATGATGGACCAAAATAAAAACACAACATCAGTAAACAATGGAGACACCCAGTCACAGCTGGAAGAATATCTTTCACAAGAAATAAGTTATACTTGACCAGTCAGTCCAGGATGTTTAAAGGGATATCTATATAATAAATTCAAAAGACAAGCCTGGAAACTAAATTTCCTCACTCACTGGACATTAAAAACCATAGACTTCCATGGAAATACATGTTATGTTTTTCCCTGGGGAGTGGAAATCTCTCCAGATTGCACAAGACCTAAACATTTTGTTGCTTATTCCTACTAGTGTACTGGTGTTTTTATTTATTTTCACATTAGTCCTGATTAGCAAGTTCACATTTAATTCAGGTCTTTTGTTTTTGAAGTCTGTTTATAAGATTTTATTCTACATAGAGGTTTGATATTTGTATGCCAAATTTGAACCAGTAGCATGCGACGAAATGTTACAGTTTTTCATCCAGTGTATTGATCCTGCAGTAGAATATATTCTCTTTTTCTACAAGATTTGCTAGGAAGTTCAGCAGACTCACCAATTTCAAACTCAAGATGAGCAACAATAATCACTGATCACATATTTGGCTGAACTCCAATTTGGATAATAAGAGGGCATACTACCTCTTATAGGACTTCTAGAAGCTTACAGCAAGTACCTAATTCCTCCTGACAGGCCTAAATAGTGTTCTGTTCAAAAAGGTTGGATTTTTTTCTTTTTTTTTTCCTTTTTTTACTAAAAATCTTTCTGTTGTCATTTTTGTCTTTATCCTTTATGGGGTGGAGAAGACATAAAAGACATTCCTCAAAATGCTTGACTAAATTTTGAGAGCTGGTGTCTCCACAAAGATCAAATGATAGTGGTACTCAACAGAAAGGACACAAGAGAGGGATTTTCCCCTTTTCACTTTTGCCCTAAGTTCTCCCTTCTGTTTCTGTGAGTTTGACACAAAGACCAGTCAGCTGACTTTATCTGAGTGATAAGGGTACTCCATGGCTTAGAGCCCTGCTTGCAACACTGTGCTCAGCAGGTTTTGGAAGTCATTCACTTCTATCTTCTCCAGCATGTTTCCTAGGCACGGGCACTCTGTTACTTCTTTGTATATATAACCCTAGCATCCAGAATTATTGATGCTTGCTAACTGATATAGGGACACATTTTGATAGATTTCCAGAGCCACATCTAAAACTAGGTTTTAAAGGATATTTGAAAGGAACGGTGTATAACACAAGCAGGAATATAAACTGTAAAATTTAAATCTTCATTTTTTACTTTCTATTATAAGAAATTTTGTAACTGCAACAGTGTCTTATTGCATCTTTTTCGTTATTCTTGATCCAGGGACAGGTCCTCAGTTATTTTCAGTCATGAAAGAATCTCCTCCTGCATTTTCTATCGTACATATTCTAAAAAACTGTTGATTTCCTTTTCTTTGGTCTTGGAGAGTGCTGATCTCCATCACTAGGAAAGCCTTTCTGTATTTTTCTTGTTTTCTTCCCAAACCACTCTGTATGTCTTTTCATCCCTTCCCTAATGTCCTTTTCCTAATAACGACTTAAGTAATTTTACATTATTCTAACTTCCTTTACAGCATAGAGAAAACCTCAGCCTTCAGCTATTATGTTCTCCTATTATATTCTCTCAACTACAGAAAAAGAGATTTTTGTGTCAGTCTATTACACATAATAAATTTTTATTAGGTGGACATTTACATGAAAAAAAAAAAAATTTCGTAAAAGTAAATCCATAATATGAAACTGAAATATCTGAGCATCCAGCAACAGATTCCACAAACATTGTTATCATCTTGAAATACAGACAAGACAAGAATTCAGTAGGGCAAAATAGGAAAAGGAGGGGAAAAACACCAGCTGTAATGATGTCCCCTTAACCTTTTCTTTGCAGCTCATTGAGTACATTCATATCAAAAAAGGTTTTGGAATATTAATGCACAGGCCCAGTACTCATCAGGCAAAGGCAAAGCCCTCCTTCATATGACTTTATCATCTTTAAGTAAATAATAAGCAGATCTTATGGTTTTCTTGTGGTTACAACACAAATAACTATGGGTTAAGGTAATAAATAAACATGTCCCCCAGATCAATGTCATTGAGGTCCAATTTTGTACTTAAACACTTGTGACTGCTAGCACTCTTGGCAATTGCAGTCCTGGCATTTACCTTCCTAAAGAGGTGTGGGAGTTATAATTCCATCAAATACCAACTATCCTTTCCTCTACTCTTCTGAAAAGTCCCAAATATCCCAAACATCATATTGTGCCTAGTTTCCCGAAAGGTGCTTGAGTAAGGAGAAGATATAAAAAAATTATGATCTGCATTTTTTACAGATAACATCTTATCTCTGCTACTTTCAATATCCAGAAATAGATGTCCTGCTTTATGTAGCACCATTCAAAACCTAACCAGAGAATTAGGTGTGGTATACGACAGATGTACAGATAAAAGACACTCAACAGATAATTGCTCCTTGCAATATTTTATCTCTTTTTTAGATAATGCGAATAATTGAGTCAGTGAAAACAAACTACATGCCTTTCTCCAAGGCAGATAACATTGAGATATCTGAGTCCACTCTACATGGTTGGCACTTGGTGGCATTTTGTATGTGTGATTTAAGAAACGAACAAGATTTTTCTGAAGAAAAATCAAGATTTCAAGCACCAATTTTTCACATGTAGAGGTCTAACTATGGAAAGAATTTCATCCTGTGTGTTCAAGAGAGATTTTGCTTAGTAGGGTAAGGTGGAACTGCAAATATTCAGATGATTTATTATAATTTCCCTGAAACAGGGAAACAAGTGGAATATGAGGAATGTTATCTCCATCTCATGCGCTAAGGAGCAAGCCCATACAATGATACACAGAAGCTTTATTAAAAATTCATTAGACTGTAAAGTCTCTCATTTTGTAATCAGAATTAAGTAGTTTTCCAATGTCATTAGCTGGAAGTCAATTTAAACCACTATCAGCAATTGCAACACACTCTAAAATGCTAAATTGAATACAACAAATTTTTTCCACTTATTTTTTATTAGAAATATTAGAATTTCATATTATGACTCAAACCCACGTGGCAGTGATACCTCTAAGAAATAAATTTCCAATGAATTTATTTACTAGTCACATTTACGTTGGTCAAAGAAGGTGAAGAAGTTTCAGAAACAGAAATCCAGTGTCATGTTTAATTTCTGAGCCAATAGAATATTGATGCATGGAAAAGCTCAAAAGAAAAGATGTGCTGTTTTCTCCTATAGGATAGCCAGGTCCCTTGACAGTAACAGCCAAGTGCAGTAAGCTACAGCAAAGAGATCCTAGAATAAAGAAATAGTAACTTTCAAAAAAAAAAAAAGCACAAAAACTTTTCAATATGAGAGTATTGTATTAGTTAGGAAGATAGTTGATACTGGTAGAAGCCACAGCTTCTCATGTAAGTAGTTGTCTTTGTTATGCTTCTGTACTAAGGCAGTAGCTGTGATCTTAAATAGAGTT